CCCCCCCCCACGCCTCGGAGAAACGGAAGGGTTCCCTGCCCCGGGGACGGCAAGGCACCCTCGTGAGCTGAGGGGAGGCTGAGGGGTTTTTGCCTCCCCTGGGGACGCTGAGGGGGTCCCAGCCCCGGGGACGCTGAGGGACCCTCCGTGACATGAGGGGACCATACGCTGAGGGACACCGTGAGGGACGTGCGGTGGTGTGGGGGACACTGAGGGGTCCCTGCCCTGGGGATGCTGAGGGACTCTCCATGGCATGAGGGGACCATGTGCTGAGCGACACCGTGAGGGACCTGCTGTGAGGTGGGGTACACTGAGGGGTTCCTGCCCTGGAAACACCAAGGAGGCACCCATGATATGAAGGGACACTGATGGGTCCAAGTTCCAACAGCGGCTGAGAGGGACCTGCTGTGGGGTGGGGGATGCTGAGGAAGACACCGTGAATGAGGGGTTTGATCCCCACCACCCCTCCTCACAGCCTGGATTCGTCCCTGGGGCTCATGGTGGGACCAGACCCAGGAAAAGAGAGTGGGAGCAGGAGGTGTAACGAGCACAGGGAGGCCGATGCGTTGCTCCACTCGGACGAGTGCACTGGTGATGGAGGCCTGCAAAGCTGGTCACCCTCAGGTCTCCCAGAGCCGTCCCAGTACTGACCGGAAGGTGTTTAATGCCACTCCTGTACAGTCTCGCTGCGAGGAAAATGCCAGAGACTTGCATTTAATGGCAGTTCAGGTCTCTAGCAGAGTTTCCATTTGCTGCACAAAGATTGCCAAAGTCAACGTTTCCCTATGACATTATAAGAGAAATAATGCAAGTAGCTTCTGTGATCTCCTCTGCCCACAGCCAATTTATGGTCCTGGGCTGAATTTTTCAGAAGGGGAGACTGTTCTCCTCCCTTACTTTGGCCTCTAGCTCAGATGCCCAATCTGAAGGAGCTATTCTCCAATAATTTTTGATAACGTGCTCCAGGCTCCCGTTTTTGAGGATCACAGCTGCTTGGCGGTCATCCAAGAGCGAGAGAGCAGAAGTGGCAGTTCTTAAAGGAGGAAAAATGATGGTCTATCACAGGACAGGCTGATTCTTTGAGAGCCTGTTCAGAGAAAGAGCTGTGCTTTCCCCTTACCTCCTCCGTATTTCCTTTGCAGTCACTTCTGAAAGAATTTCTAAGTGAGCTGGAGATCAGAAGGGTGTAGGAGAACAACTCTCACTTTTACGCGCTGTGTGCCCCAGGAGGGGAAAGCGTGATGGCCCTCCGTGGGCTCTGGGTCTCAGAAGCATTTTGAGCATGTTCGCTAGAGCCCATCCCAGGCTTGCGGCTGTACACAGCCATCTCGGGACAGCACGGTTGCTAGGGTAAGTAAATGATCTTTTCAATAGCTACACATGTTTTAAGATAATGAATATCTCTTGTTTAACATTCTATACTTTTTATTCTAAAAGTTCACAAGATGGCCAGGAGGAGCAGCCAAACTTCTGTGACTGGAGCAGAATCAATACACTGAATGCATGGTAACGAAGTACACAAAGATGTATGACTCATAGCTATGTAATGTCACACTTGTGTAATCTTTCAATGTAAACTCTTTTCCTCTAATAAAATGTTAGTGAGTGTACAATACGTATATATGGTGCTGTGAGTCAGCCAAGAAAATACACTCTGATGAATTCAGAATGAATGTGAACGTTCCCTTGATAACACACCGCGAATGTCTGTGTCAGTTTATGTGCTTGCGATTTCAGCAACAGCTATAACAAAATATTTTGTTTCTAGGATATACAACTGTACGTGTACATCACACTGAGAAGCTCCAGCCGGATGCTGTCTTCCAGTAGGCACTGGAAGGACATTTGTTTATAGCACTGCGCTGACTCTGCCACCTAACTGGGTTTTTTTCTTTGCATAAAGGAAACGTTTAGTGGGTAGCGAGGACGAAAGCCAAGTGCACAAAATAATAAATTCACTGCCTTTAGTTTCTTTTTGTTTTCAAATAAAGTGGCGAAGCTAAAAAACTAAACCTGGTGAGGCAAATGTGAGAACTTATTTACCTTGTGAGTCACCAGTTCTGCACAAGCTGAGTACAACTTTGCAGTGACCTTCCACTCGGTCTGTGATCATTGTGCTGACATTTTCTGGCTTTTTGCTGTATGCAAAGCTTATTTTAAACATGTAAACCCAAGACCCTGGCACTGATCTCACGTATGGCAGCATAGATCAGGAGTGATGCCACTGGTGTATAAATGTGAAGAATGTGAGATTAGAAAGTATTTGTTAATCTGCTGTGGGTAGAGGAGACCTAAATGATGTGTGATTTGTCTTCCAGCCAAAGCGAACACAGGTTCAAACATTTCTGCAGGGCAAAGTTGATTTTTCTAGGTGTTGCTGCTGATCTCTGTTGTTGCTTTTACATCAAGAGAAACTTTCTAAGGGATTGCAATCGCGATTCGCCATGTTCGGAGCGGACTCAAGGCTGGGGCTGTGTGATGGACTGCACCCTGGGTGAAAGGCTGCTGCTGGGTGGGTTGGTGAGAATGCCCACGTCACCTGGCTGCTAGAGCACTCTGAGTCATTACAGAACTCAAACAAACAAACAAAAAGCTCCTTTCTCATGGGATTGTTCTCAGAACGTTCTGACTGCACCTAGAGCACGTAATAACAGCGGGGTAAACGAGCTGAGAAGGAGACCTCTTAGCACAGCTGCTCAAAATCACAATGCTTGTAACACCGTGACCAGTCACTCCGTATTTAAATGAGACAAGCAGTAGCGCAGGATTTCCTTGCCTGCATCTCAAATTGCCGTAGTTGTGTTGACTATACAATTTCTTCTGCTAATTTAAACTGCAGATTCAGAGTTAGTGCTTTTTAGAGTCTGCTCTCAAGGAAGTTGATAAAATGATGTAAACAACCACATAAAATGAAATAAAGAGGTATTTTTTGAAGAGGCATGTCTTAATTTGAGGAGATTGATTTAATCCTGTAGGCCTTTTGTCTGCTGAAAGTAACATCTAGAATTAAGTTGATAAAGAAACCTTTTTGACCAGACCTTTCATGACTGGAGTTGGTTCCTGTTCAGGGACTTCAAGACAAAGGTGAACCATCTCTTTGATAAGCTGAAGGGGCTCACTAAGTTTTTAGTACAGCATATTTTCCTTTAATATTTTTGTGATTCTCCTCTGAACTATGTGCATATTTTTAAAAATCTTTCTTGAGCTTTGAGCACTGGAAATGCAGAGCAGCAGGCAAATACAAGTCACCGCT